TAAGGTGATTGTGAGCATTCAATGATTTAATATACGCAAAGCATGCAGTGTCTGGCCCTTAGTAAACACTCGCCATTATTATCATTATGTCCACTTGACAGATAGGGAAATTGGGTCTTAGAAAGGTTAAGCGTCTGGCCCAAAGTCCCCTAGCCAGATCACATTGGCACCAGATCTAATCTGACCCCTCTTAAGTACTTCACACACTGACTCAGAAACCGCAGCCTGCTGCCAGCAATGCACTTGGGTGCAAATAAGGAATTGTATTAGCCTTACGCAGTCAGTGTTTGATTATCTTTGGTGAGAGTTTCTCATCTATAGATGAGTTTCTCATCTATAGATGAGTTCTGGGGAACTTCTCCCAGCTGTTCAGCAAGATGAAGCCTCTGGGATGGTATCTCCTTTCAACATGACTTTAAGTAAATTTAAATAAGTAAATTTAAAATAATATGGGAGGGCTTCCCTGGTGGTGCAGTGGTTGAGAGTCCGCCTGTGCAGTGGTTGAGAGTCCCCGATGCAGGGGACACGGGTTCGTGCCCCGGTCCAGGAAGATCCCACATGCCGCGGAGCGGCTGGGCCCGTGAGCCGTGGCAGCTGAGCCTGCGCGTCAGGAGCCTGTGCTCTGTAACGGGAGAGGCCACAACAGTGAGAGACACGCGTACCGCAAAAAAAAAAAATAAATAATAATAATAATAATACGGGAGTTGTATTGCAAATCATAGTGTATATTTGTTTATTTATAGATTCCAGTTACTTATATTTATTCCTAGCCAAATACTTCTCCAATACAGTTGAACATAGCAGAAACGTAGGTGGGTATCTACCGAATTGCTACTATATTTAAAGTCCGCTTCAATTCCACATACCCTAGCAGCTGCTTGCCTTGTTATTTTCCATGATCTCCGAGGGTGCACAAGTCTCCTTAGACCTGTAGTGATGCTTGAGAGCCAATGTGGGTGTAATTCCCCTATTCACCACCAGGTGTCCCACCCAGCCCTGCTATCTGACACGCATCAAGGAAAAAATGGCCTTCTTCACCCCTCCAAAGGGGAAAAAGGAATCGAGGGGGGACGGAGGCGTTGTGGGGAGGAGGGCGGGAGACTGTGACGAGTCTTCTAGAAGCTGCTCCTTGCCTCTGGACAAAGGTAGTCTTTTGCATTGTTTTTCTTTGATGCATAGGTCTCTCTCTCCAGAAAGCCTAGAGTCAGTTCCCTACAGTTTAGGAAGCTTTTATTTCCACTAACGAACTGGTGTCTGGCCAGTCCTTTGCATTTCTGAGTTTGAGTCTGAGGCAGCTGCCTGCTTGCATTGTCTTCCTTTTGCCTGAAAGACCCTGACAGGCTCTCATCCCTCTGTGGGCTCTTTCTTTCAGGGTCTAATTTAAAAAGAGTTAAGGGAGGTACTGATTCCTCCTCACGTCCTTAATCAGAGGAGGTCAAAGATGGGAATCAGTGTGTGACTATGGCACGAACTAGCACTCTTGTAAACAGTAACCTAATTCGTCCCTGATAGCAGTATTACCTTGACAGAAAGGCTTCTTCCTCACTTGCAAATGAAATTGTCATTTGCTTCTCTGGGGGCAGGGGAGGGGACGGGGGACGGGGGTTGGAAGTAGGAGTAAGGGGATTTGGATCCACTGACTTTTAAGAACTAGGGACTTTTAAAATTCCAGAATAAATCTCTTATCTTTTGCAGGTGCTTGGCTGCTTGCCTGTTATCAGTCCTCCCTCCCTTCTTCCTTTCTTTTGGAGGACCACAGACAGGGTCAGAGTTAGGGTCAGGATGAGAGCTCTGAAGCCACGTGGTTTTTCCCTCTGACACTGCCGTCTGCACTGGGTCTCTCTGCAGACCCCTGTCCATCGTTGTAGGTCACTCCCACAGACCCTAGACATTCACCACGGACCCGAGGCATTCAAAAGGATGCAGTTCTCTGAGCTGTCTGGCAAACGGAGGCCCAGATTGTAGCTTATTCTGTGACTGAAGTTTCACCCGGGGGTCTGCCGAGAACGTGAAGGGGATTTCTTTATTTAGCACCGGCTTTAGGATATTTCAATGTGGGATATTTCTTCCATCAAGGACCTTGATAACAAAGACCAGACTACAGCCCTAGGGGAGCAGGTAGCTTCTGTCTCATTATATGCGTGGCTTTTACTGTTTGGAGAGCCTTTTGCCAGTACACATTTTCTCGTGAACTAGGAAACCAGAGCCCGGGTGTGATGTATTATTGATAGGATTGTAATTTACTCTTCTCAGGTTGTATCTACAGTGTATACCATTAGCACAACCTATGAAATTACCAGTGGTTGTATATATTTGTCTGTTCAGGTTTGGCTTAATGATATTTGCCTTTTGCCTCAATAAAAGATCATGAATAAAGCGAGCAGGGCAACATTGCTTGTTGTTGCAGGGGAAATTTGATTAAATCATTTTCTCTGTGTTGCGTTGTGGCGAGCCATGCTTTGCAATGAAGATATGGGACATAAAATAGCGGGGGCTGGATGGGGAAGACGGATGGGGCAGTTCGCTCCAGCTCACAGCACATGCTGGCTTCCCTGGCAGGTGGCTCCGGGCTGGCTAACGCTCCTTCCGAATGGGAGATTAACCACCCTGCCCGTGCTGCACCAGCAGGGGGAGGGGGCAGTTCAGACTCTTGTGTCCCTGCTGCGGAAGATGGTGTTGGGAGTGCGATTTGGGGTATGGAGACCCAACAGTGCATCACGTAGAGCGTAGAGGAAAATATTTTGGAGAAATGCTTATTCCTCTCGTCTCCTGCCCTCAGTCTGGGAGCCCTGTATTCCTGAGGGGCGGAGTCCCAGGAAGGGGTGGAGGGGTGAAGAGGCCCCTCCCCTCAGAGGTCACTGGCTGGGGGAGGGGGCTTCGATACCCAAGTGACAGGCGTCCATCTGTAAAGCTGGACTCTCCTTTATAGCCGGCTCGTAAGAAAAACACCACTCGGCCAAGCCAGGGGCATCTACTGACTTTTGCCATTTGGGGCACATTCTGGAGGTGAAAACCGGTTTTTCTGAAGTCTTGTCAGGGGCAGGCTTTGTTCAGATTTTGCCTCTTTAGTGGACTGGCTCCCTGAAGGAGCCCCTGTTTACCTGAGGAAGGGGCAATTCACAGAAAGGCTTGGGCATCTCCTCAGTAACCGGGTGGGACTTCCTTTGGACTTAGGGGCCCACCCTCTTCCCCACAACCTTCTTCTTCCCTAAAGAAGAGACGTGGAGAAATAAAAAGGCAAATCACACAGGACTGTAAAGCCAATGAAATCAATGCTAAATCTCTCAAAGCAAATCATAGAGCCTGACAGCTGAGAAGTATTATTTGTTTTTTCGCCTTCCAGATTTCCACCAAGCCTGGTGTTTTAATCATATGTCTTGGGGAGAAGAGACCCATATAAGGGCAATTACAATGGATAAATGATTAAATGTTAGACCTGACATTTTTATGTGTCAAATATGTTGAAGTGCATTAACCTTTACAGAATTTGCACCCGTACTATACGAGAAATATCTTGTATAGCGTCTCAAATATCTGCAATCTGCCCTCACTTAAATCTTACTTACATTTATTTTATTACAATATAAATGGGTTTTAGACATCTTAATAGAGTTTTTTTTACACCATTCTGCAGGTCCTGCTGGCACTGCAGGGAGGCTGAGGGCAGTAGGGCTCCTTGCTGATTTCAAACAGTGTTCCAGCCACCTGCCTGGAGAACCCAAGGAGAGCAGGGATTCTGTGTCGGTTGTTCAAGCCCACGTCTCTGTTTTAGCTCAAAGGGGAGGTGACTTAGAAGGCCAGGGAGTCGGCATCCAACAGCATGAATCACAGAGACAGAAAACTTTTAATTTTTATGAGTTACAGAAAACACACGCGTCCATAGCATTCATTTGAGAAAGAATAAGCAGATCCCATCTGTGGTGCTTTTGCCAATCTGCCCATCGCCCATCCCATCTGCGGAAGGATACTCACAGCAGATGTCTGCATCTCTCACACCTCTCACTGGGCCTTTCCTTTTCCAAGTCAAAGCTACGCTTGCAGCTGCTCTGGTGTCAGTTCCACGCCTCCTGAACTTCACTCCACTGAAATCTGGTTGGGTATGAGACAGACTCCGGTGGAATGAAGGACAAGAGAAGCACATGGACGGTCTGAGGTCTTTTTCTCAGAGGGTGGGCCACGTGTCAAGCCTGGCCTCTGCACGCAGGGTTGTTGCCTGGCCGAAAGCCTTCGGGATCTTTGAATCACAGACTTGGGAGGTGTGGGAGATCTGAGTACTCACATCTTCCCCATGATCACTTCCTCCCAGGAGCTGCAGAGATCCAGCTCACCAAGATCCCCCTGTGTCTGCAGCACCAAAGATGCTGAGTGGTGGGGATGGCCTGCGGGACTGGGACCCTTGCCGTTTCTTGCCCTGGAAGCAGCCATTCCACACCAGTCCATGTGGAAGCTTCTCTGTGTTTACCTAGATGGATGCTGGTCATCCTCCTCTTTGGTCTGTGTCCCCCTGCGTGGGCCGTAACTGAGCTTGGTCCTGGCTACAGAAGGCAGGTGTTCTGAAAGTGCTTTAGAAGAATCCATCTACTGTGCACTTGCTTACCAAGGCGGAGGGAGGCAGGGGCGGGGGCGTTGCCCTCCAGAACACACTGTCCAGAAAGCGTGAACAGCACTTGGCAGGCCCATCTGCGGGTGCGAAATGGGAGGAAGAATGGCCGGCTGGAGCCAGGCACCCTGGTCGGGGCTGGGGCAGGAGGGCACATGAGGGTGAGCCTTCTTTTTCTTTCTTTCTTTTTTTTTTTGCGGTACACGGGCCTCTCACTGTTGCGGCCTCTCCCGTTGCGGAGCACAGGCTCCGGACGCGCAGGCTGAGCGGCCATGGCTCACGGGCCCAGCCGCTCCGCGGCATGTGGGATCTTCCCCGACCGGGGCACGAACCCGTGTCCCCTGCATTGGCAGGCGGACTCTCAACCACTGCGCCACCAGGGAAGCCCTTTCCGTTTTTCTTTTTGTTTGTTTGTTTTTGTTTCTTTTTTTGAGGGTGAGCCTTCTTGCTCTCACTCCTACAGACTCATCTAGGATGGCCACTTTCCGGGGGCCCCCCATGCTTTCCCAAACTTCCTGGAAATGGCACCAGTACATCTTCTCGGGGCTTGGGGATGGGGAATGTGGAGAGGGAGGCCATAACCTGGATTTCAGAGACTGATAAACAGAGAGGATGGAAACCCTCTGAGAGCTCTCTGTCCTCCTACAAAGAGATGCCATCCACCCGTTGCTATGTAGTTACTGCCCCTCCCCTTCCTCGCTGTGTTCAGACGTGCCCTGGGCTCAGTGTAAGCCCCATAAAAGGCTGTTCTCAGCACCGACTTGCTGACTGGGTGAGTTAGGGCAGATCCACCCTGTTGTTTGGAATACTTTCTTCCCGGGGCTTGTTCTGGCCCAATGCAGGGAGGCAGCGGCTTGTAACATGGCTCCCCACCCCCCATCCAACCCCCTGGGCGTTGGGCATCTCAAAAAAGGCTCTTCAACAAGGGCTCGGGGTTCCAGCCATTGCTGAGGCAGAGCCCCACTTTCCTTGGTCAGGGCGAACACAGGGTGTGCTCTGGGCAGGGATCTGGGTACCGGGAGGAAGGAGGCTGGCCCATCCTCTCCCATCAGGCTTCTTCGTAAGCACGCGTGGCTCTCAATCATGAGAGAGAAATGTGCCCCACTTGTGAATGATCTAGATGATATGGTCCCCCTGCACTGTCTTTGAACCATTTCATAGTTAAAGGAAGAAAGAGACCAACCTGTTTGGCTCTGATAAATGATGGCAGGCGATGATGGGAGGAAATAGCTCTGGGATGGAAGGATTCTTTGCTTTCTCTCTGGATTTCAGCCCAAATCAGAGAGCACAAGGGACAATTCCTCTCCCTCCAGACCTCCCTTACCCCACTCTTACCCCTCCCAACATGTACCGTCCACCAGATTCTTCAAATCCTCAATCGGAGTGTGCAGAGAGCATCACCCTCATATGGGGTCCTTAACCTCCAGGGTGGATACTCCAGTGATGGCAGAGTCTGTAAAAGCACTTTAACTGTGAAAGGCCGTGCAAATAGGAGGTAGCACTGATATTAGCGAGCCCAGAAAAGGCAGGCCCTTCCCTTATCACCCTCCCCTCACCCTACAGACCTGCAGCTGCAACATGACAGACAGGAAAGGATGAGCTGAAACCTGTATCAGGAACCTTGACCCACTCTGGACCCCATACCTCAAGTTCAAGATTCTTCTGCCCAATATGCCTTCGCCAACTTGATGTCCCAGTGACCTTTGCCTTGGCCACGTGCATTGTGGGGTTTGTTTAGAGAAGCAAACCACACATGTATTTGGCTATAGAGTAAGTTCATCCCCTGACTGCCCTCCTGTGCTGCCCAACCGCCTTCAGGACTGTGCCTTAAATGACTTCCTAATAAAACCAACTTGGACATGAGAACCAAAGAACGGAACCCAGGCCCTGAATCTCCTGTTAGGGCTGCACCCTCTAGCCCAGGACTGAAAAGCCAGTCAGCCCCCTGTTCCTCTCATTGGGTAAATTTTCACGAAACCAGACAGAACTGCAATCAGGGTACTTAACTGGTTAGCTCCCACCTCACCACACCAGTTCCGATTATCAGGGAGATTTATTGCCTGGGATCTCTGGCAGTCTCCGAGAGAACATGGAACTGACTGGGGATTTGGTGAACATACAGCAGGTTCAGTTCTTTTAGCCTTGGGGGAGGTTGATAACCAACTTCCAGGGGCTGTGGCTTCTTCCACAGCTCACTCTCTTCTCTTTTTGCCCAATGATTCTCTTAATGGAGCCTCTTGGCTTTGGTTTTCCCATGCCCCCCACCCCCCAATCCAGAGATTTCAGACTCACCTGTCAGTATGAGTGTCTGTACCTTCAGGTAACAGGGCCTCCTCTGAGCTTGATTCAAAACAATACATAGATTTTTTTCATCAGATAATTCAGAACAAAGGGATGGCTGGAGACTCATGCGCATGAGAGGAAGAAAAGGAATTCCAAGTCTTGGAATGTTCTTTCACTCCTAAGGTTTGAGGACCGGGAATAAGAAACGAGGAGCACTTACTGTATAAAGTGTCCAGCTGAGCAGGCCCGTGCAGAACAGAAATGGGTCCTGAGTGAGGGCAGGTGGGGGCCGGTCCTGAACAGTCACTTTACCTTTAATTAAAAAAGCATATGAAAGCAGAGGAAAGGGGAGATGGAAGAGAGGGGAGCAAATTCAGCCAGAAAGAAAGAGCTTGGAGTACGGTGGGGCTCAGTTGAACTTTCAGCACAGACAATAAAAGAGAGAGAAGCCGGTTTTTCCAAGGCAAAGGTGAAGAAGTAGGACTCAGCCCCTTTCAAGGAGGTGGTGCTAGTTCCACACTTTATTTATGCACCTCTCCGCCAAGCTTCGGGTTACCTGCCGAGCCCGCCCAATGCGGAGAGGCCTGGGCCGCTGGCTCCGCCTCTCAGCACCCACACCCCCTGGGGGCCAGGAATGGCGAGGCCCTTCTGCACCTAACCTCGCTTTCTTACTGTTCTGTAAACACCAGAAAAAGGAGGGGAGGTCTCTATCCTTGGAGAGACTCAGGTGATCTGAGCGCTGTTCCTGGCCTCCCAGAAACCTGGGGAAGGAAGAAAGGGAATCTCAGATCTTATCCCGGCTAGGAGGGGCTGTGTGTGTGTGTGTGCGCGCGCGCGCGTACGTGCGCGCAGGTAGTGGAACTGGATGGCCTCTGGAGCTTTTAGCCGTACTCCTGGGTCCTAGCTCTACGCAGTGCACATCAGGAATCCAGCAGAGATCCGCCACCCCATCCAGGGACCCTTGGGTCCGAGGAGAGGCCCAGCCAGTGGGTTATCCTGGCATTTAGTACAGAGTGAGTTTGCTGCGCTCCTCGTGAAGAGTAAGAGGCTTTTATAATCCAAGAGGCTTTCAGACCCTCTTCTCTTTCATTCCAGGGGGTGGGGAAAAACACTACCCTGTGTGAGAGGAAGTTGGGAAGAGACAAAAGGAATTGGAGAAAGAGCCAGACAACTCATGAGGAACATTAAGGAGGTTGGTCTATCAACCACTGATTATTTTAATTCCCCTTCCCCCTCTCCTCCCCATCTCCTTCTTCCCTCTCCCCATTTCTCCCTCTTGCCACACCGGGAGGGCAACGGCACTTGAAGTCTCCTCAGATGTGGTGTATTTTGCCGAGACTCCTAGCCTGACTTCCATGTGCTCTTAAGGCAGATCTGCTGGTGCTCAGGGAAAGTAGATTCCTCCCCCCTCCCAGGAAAGGAGGGGAATTAAAGAACCCAATTTATAGGATATCGCGGGGCCGTGCTGTCCCACAGCGCTTCTTAGAACCCAAATTCTCTCTCTGCTCAAAATCTCTTCAAACATCAACCAATCCAAACTTCTTACCAAACAGATGGGAAAACTGAGGCTCTAAGAGGAGAATTTCTGTCTCAAGTTCATGCAGCCAGTGTAGGGTTAAGATTCAAATATACCTGGATCTCCTGGCTTCCATTAAAGGGCTCTTTACAGCAGACACTCCGTGATTGCCTTCCCCAGTTCTGGAGGGCCTTGCGTCTGCCTGGAGCATTCTGCACTCTTTCTGGAAGAAGAAAAAGTTCCACTGGGGCTCATGGGAGGGAGATTTTCCAGGTGAGAGCTTTCTTAAGTCTATGGACTCCTCCCCCAGACCATCAGGGCACATCATTTCCCTGACATCTGGACTCAGTTTGCCTTATCACAGCCTCAGCTCTTCCATTTCCCAGCCAGTAATGTAGACTGAGAGGTAGAGATGACCAAGATGAGCCACACTTGTGGAGTAGAGACCCCGTGCCCTTGTCCATCCCTCCCTCCCTGTATTTCATTCATTCACTCTCTGTGCCCTTGTCCATCCCCCCATTTCATTCATTCACTCTCTGTGTCCTTGTCCATCCCTCCCTCCCTGTATTTCATTCATTCACTCTCTGTGCCCTTGTCCATCCCCCCCATTTCATTCATTCACTCTCTGTGTCCTTGTCCATCCCTCCCTCCCTCTATTTCATTCATTCACTCTCTCCCTCACTGCCTCACTCCACGATGGCATCAACTCTGTAGCAGGTGAGTGAGGGACTGTGCTTACCCTTGAGGAACTCCCAACTTAGTTACACATGTACATGGACAGACAGAAAAAACAGGCCAATGAGAAAAACATGATGAATACCCCCCAAAATGAAGCTGCCAACTTTTGTCTGTGAGATTCAGGGAAGGTCCCACAGAGAAGGGACACCTGAGCTGACTCTGAAAAGACGAGGAGGGAACAGGAAGTTGGTAAGGACCTGGCTTGAATGAAAGACCTGAGGAAGGAGCCCTCGCCCTCTAGTTCAGAAGCTCACCCTGCTCCCAGGTAGGACTAGAGGTAGGTGGCTCGCTGCTGGCCCCAAAATGTGGGGTGAAGGGAAGGGAACGAGGGGTACCGAGGGCAGAAAATAGGCACAAATCCTGCTGGTCAGATTCTTTCCCCTCCAGGGGTTATCTTAGTTCTCTGAATTTGTTCAGCAAAATGGGAACAAATTATAGCCCAGCTGACATGGCCGGGAAAGTCTCACCTGCCCTTTATTAGTAGTAGTATTATCTACCTTCCCCTCAACTTGATTCACAAGGGTCCAGGAGGATGCTCTGTGGACTGGCTGGACACTGGTTTGTATGGCGGGTCAACAAGGGGGTGGGAAGCACATCAGGGTGGCTTTGCTGAAAGCCTCCTGTCTCCCCACCCCTGGGTCTGGCTCTTTGTTCCAAAGTCAGCTTGAGAGGTAAAAGCCCTAGGAGTCCTTCTTGCCCCCAGACTTCTAGGTCCGCGTCTCTAAGAGGCTTTCCCCAGACTCTTTCAAGGGTTGCCGCCCTGCCTACCTGCCTGCGAGTGTGTGCTTGTGGGCAGAGGAGAATGGACTGGGGAGGGCAGGGCTGTTGGGCTGGGAGCACGGGGCTCCCATCTCCACTCAGGAGCTGGCCATTCTAGCGGGATTTGCTCATTTTCTCCAACTGAGCTGCACATTTTGGTTTGACTGTGTATCCCTGATCCTGACTCCTTCTCCCCTCACCATGCCTGAGTCAGGCTGCTGTGCTGTGAAGGATCTTTGGTCCACACATGCCTCTCTGGGTCCTGGAAACCCACAAAAATTCCCTCTACTCTGACCTCCAGCCCCTTAACTGACGGTCACCTCTTTATTTCTGAAGAAACAGGCAAAAGACTGCAAAGTCTCCCAAATGTTCTAGTACCTGATTCAATTAGATTCTGGTTACAAGCTCATCGAAGTTTGCAGCTGTACCTCCACACCTTGCGCTGTGCCTGAGGTCTTCCTTTGAAGGTCTGGAATCAGCTGCAATTCTTTCTACTGGGGAGGGACAGCAGAGGAGCTTCCAAAGAGCCCTGTTGTACAACATTTGGAGCGGACTGCCCTCTTGGAGTGAAACAGGAAGGATAGTATGACACAAAGAGACAGCTTATTCCCAGGAACCTGCTGGGGACATCAGTGCCTATGCCTGGGGGACGGGGAGGGCCCCCTTCGGCTGCCTGCAGACTGGAGCTTTCATTACCAGCTTTCCACTGGTCCTGGGCCTCCACTCTACATATTGAAGAGTCAGGGGGACCTCTTCCTGAGAAGTTTCTCAGGGCCCAAAGTCAGGAGGAATGCATGCTAAGTCATCTGCCTCTACCTAGTTCTGTACTTTGGCTCAGAAAGTAACTGCACAAATGTAGGGTAGGGAAGACGTGATTCAGCAGCAACATAAATAGAAAACAAAACAAAACAAAAAACTTAGGATTTGAGCTTATGGTAAGCTTTATGGGACTCAATGTTTTGATATGGCTGCCCAAAGGGGAAACTCTATCTTTGGTTGTATTGTTAGAAATATGAGACCAGAAACAAGGGAGGTGATATTCCTACTCTGTACTGCTCAGATTATACTTGGTTTACTATGTTTGGTTATGGGCTCCACATTTTAAGAGGGGTCAAAACAAGTCTGAAAGTGAGAAAAAAATGATCAGAATGGTGAGAGGACTTGAACATAGATCACTCTGACAAAAGATTAAGAGACAGGGGCTGATTAGTCTGCAGAAGCAATTACTGGGGAGTAGAGGGAGGGATATGATAGATGTTTTCATCAATACATGAAGGTGTGCCATGTAAAAGAGGTTTATATTTGTTCCTAGTGGTCTCATGGGATGGAATGAGGGGTAACTTCTTTTCCTATCCCCTGTTCCCTATAGAAGTAGCTTCTTAGAAATAGACCACAAAGGACACAGGCAGGCAGCGAAAGAAACCTGATGGTTCTGGAGTCCATAGAGCCCCTCAGAGAGGATAAACGCTCACCCCAGAGTGGAAAGACTAGGCATGCTTTCTGCATACACCCACCGGGTGGTACAGAACACCTGTCTGAACAGGTGGAGCCAAAGCCCTAAACCCAAGTCAATAAATCAAATGGAGGCCCCTTCCTGCCCTCGTGAATACACCTTCCCTCCCGCTTCATGGTATCTCCTTAGTTGACTTGCCTGGTGCAAGTGTTGTGCCCTCAGAAGTTGAGTTTGGGGTTGCTTTTCACTAGCCAGCCCTTTGTACGTTGACTGTTTCCCGACATCACATCCCCACTCTGCACATACGATCCTGCGATCAGTGCACACCTCTATAATACATTACCTTATAGGTATTGATTTCTTGTCTTTCTGTCTCTCTAGACCTTGAACCTCTTTAAAGAAAGCCAGCACCTAGAAGTTCCTGGCTTGTGGTAAGTGCTCAGTAAACATTTGTTGACTGGGTGAAGGTGAGGAGAGGCCTGAACTGGGAATTCTGACCCTCTGTTACTGAGGGGACTTGGGGTCTGGGGCTAACACCGCCACCTCCAACTCCCCTGGCCCCATTACACTCCAATATGGATCAGAACTGTCCCAGAGTTTCAGGACCTGCCACCAGATGTTTTCCTGCTCTGGGAGATCTGACGGCTTGTTGTTCTCTCGTCTATTTCTGGGCTGGGGCTGGAGACCCCTCATTCCTGAGGTGGGCACATTCTCTGGAAGCTGTAGAGGCAGCAAGGCGGGCTGAAGCCGGCCCTGTTGTGGGTCTCCTTTCCCAGGCCCCTCCCTCCCAAGGCCTAACCTAGTCCTTCAGGTGAGAGAAACAACTTCGAGGCCTGCCCACATGCCCCTCCTGGACAGAAGAGAGATCCCAGGGGACATTATGGTGCATGAAAGCAAAATCATTTGTCTCTAGCACATTTGTCACTCTGGACATTTCCTACAGTTATTGGCTCCAAAAAAAAGTCTCTCCAACTTGCTTGGAGGTTTTCTGGGTTGGGGGAACTTCCATTTCCATGGAGAATGGTTGTTTGAGATTTTATTTTTCTACATCAACATCTGAATACCACTTTAGGAAAGCAGAGGGGTGGGGGAGCATTCTTAATAGAAGAGGCTTTGAAAAGCTGAAGCAGTTCATGTTATTTGACATCAAGAGCAGAATCAAAAAACACCGAGCTAGAGACAGCTTGCACCTTCCTCTGTCCTCTACTCGTGGCCCTCATCATTTGGAGAACTAGAGGGTTTGGAGAACACAGAGGAGAGACAGGTGTCATTTGTTCACTGATAACTTCACTCAACCTTTCTTGTGCACCTACTATGTGCCAGATACTCTATCAGATGCTGGAGATCAGTGGATGGCTAAGATTGAGCCCCTGGACATAAAGACTTTACAGTGCAGTGAGGGAGCCAGTGTGGTGACATGGGCCACAAGAGGGAGGGGCAAGGACAGTAGCCCCTGTGCTAGCTAGCACTGTAGCAGCCAAGAGGGAGGAGCCTCTGTCCCTGCCTTGTATATCAGTAAGGCTTCACGGAAGAGGTTCTACCCAAATGAGCTCAGAAATATAAGAGAAAATGTGCCAACTGGAGAAAAGAGAGAATTTGGTGTGGGGACTCCTTGGGGTGGCAGGGCTGAGCAGGGGTGGGTAGGTTGCCTTCTTCCTAAAGAAAAAGATAAAAAAGTGCAAGCTCTACCCTGGGTCACTGCCCAGACAGCAGGTTTACTACCTGGGGGATCTGGAGTGAAGTATGGAAGGGGATTGAAAGAGCCCACGCTGCCTAGGAGGAAAAAAAAAAAATCTAGCCAAACTTCATCAGCACCTCTGCAAGGTGGACCTACACAGGTAATCAAGTTTGGCAATCTCTGTTGGCTGCCTCACCGCGTGTTTCTGTGTGTTTCATGAGATGCCAGTTAGAATTTGCTAAATAAAGAGGGAAGATCAGCAGTAGAGGGGCGAGTTTTAATGGGGAGAAACTGACTGGTGAGCTGGTAAAGGGAGACAGATAGACTTGAGGCCACCAGAATGCTTAGCTCGGCACCAGGTAGGGTTGGCCCGCACATGAGTGTCTGTGCCCACGTGTGCACGTGTACCTGAAGCTAATTAGAGCATCAGGGCATTTTAGCCCAGTTTACCTGCTAGTCACAGAAAAGCGATTAGGTGGGCAAAATGAATGAGGTAGAAAAAGAGGCGGAGCATTGGACAGTTGCAAAACTTTTCTGTGAAAGGTTCCAACCCTTGCTGAGTTGTTGGAGGGGGAAGTAAGCCAAGTTTGGGTCTCTCTTCTACCTGCCACTCTTAGAAGAAATAATTGGAAACCAAACCTTCAGGTGGGGAGTCGTTTTGGGGCTCGGAGCTCAAGTCTCTGCTCTCAGACGCTGGCGGGTGCCAGCTCATCCGTCAGGCATAGTCCTGGAGAAGCCGGCGCTGGCGCTGAGTTCAGCAGTTCTGAGCAATAGAACAATAAACCAGTCCGGGAGCCCTGTTGCTGCAGCGGAGTGGGGTAATCCTACAATTTAATAAGCAGGAACACACAGCAGGACTGAAGCAAATTGTTTGGAGGTGATGAGATTGCAGCACCTTGCTGGGCCAGAGAGAAGCCTGAGAGAAGGAGTTTGGGGTTTGTCATGCTGGGGTGGGGGATGGGATGAGGGCAAGCTGAGGAAGAATCAGGCCAGAGCTTTACCGGTAACCCTGGGATTCACATTCCAAAGGCTAGGAGGATGGATGACCTAAGTCTATTCAGCGTCATTTGAAACTCAGGATGGGGTGGAGGACTCACTCTTACTGAAGTGGGGCTGAACCAGGTGTTAGGCAGTGAGACCCCCCTCTGGGTTGGGCAGAGGGGTCAGACTCCATTCATTGCTAATGGTGCCATTTAGTCAAGTCGCTCTGTTTCCTCATCTGTAAAATGGGCATAATAGTGATGCCTGGATAATGCATGGGTATATTCTCCTAAAACTGTGAAGGCTTTCAGAATCATGATGAATGTTTATCACACCTGAGATTCCAAAATGTTAAAATGCAGAGTTTTATGGACTCGAGTTGCTAAGTATATCCTGTTTTTGGGTTCTGTGTTTGGCACTGAGGACCTGGCTGGTATTCCCCAGTTTTCCTCAACCCAACCCAGAGATGTACTGCAGCTGTGAGAGCCAATTGTTAACATTTCAGGAAATAGTTTCCCATCTGGTTGTTAAATGTGTTGGTAGCTTGAAATCAGCCACCGTGGAGGTACTTATACCATGCTACAAATCAGGGTCCTCCTGAGAGTTTGTTGTTAAGCATTTACGAGCACACCTCAGATCTCATCTTTCCCTCTTCACTGGTTTTCCACGTTGCTTCCCTAGGGCCAGCTTCCCTGCCTGTTTTTCTCCTCAGCAACACTGAGCACATTGGAGCAGGGATGCTGAGGGCCCTGAGGGGGGCCTGGTTCTGGTCCTGCAACCCAGGCTCCAGTCCCACTGGGCTGCTTCCTGTTTCCAGTAGATGC